TTTAGAAATGACACAACATGGTTTATCATTAGGTATGTTCCAGTCAGAGATTATTTCACATATATTAGGCATGGCCCTGGCTATGGCTAACCTGACTCTAGACTCGGTTTGTAACTTACCAGGAGTGGCTGTCTGTAATATGGCCAGACTTTTCCCCCCAGGAGCTGCACAGAGATCAAGCACATTTTCTCCTTCCTTCACATTCAAAGTCAGTACTGGGAGAAGAGAGGCTGCATTCAGGAGGTAGTACTGCTTTAACCAGCCTGGGTGGTGGCCTTGTGTGGGAATACGCACTGGATCCCGATGAATAAAACATTGCAGGGGGATGTGTGTCGTATGGGACTGAGATTCAGGATGTGTCGTCTGTGGAAGGAGGTTTGTGTATCCAAACGCTGTGAGACACTGCTTGAGGTTTGTAAGGTCACTAAAGCGATTAAGCAGGACACCGTATTGCCATGAGAGTGGATTCAGAAGCACATCCCTGCAGACATCAAACATTTATGTGGGCTAAATTCAGAGATAAATATGTCAGGTAAAATCTTACATTTCCAGAAAGCTAATACTTACAACAACAAAAGTACTGTGAAAGTTTCATGCTTTGGTAACACTTTACAATACAGTCTCATTTGTTCGGAGGCGTATTGCATTCACTTGAAGAAAAAAAATCTACTCTGTTTTTCTGAATTAATGAGTTAATTTTTCATGAGAAAAAAAAAATTTTTACTCTGTTTTTCTGAATTAACGAGTTAATTTTTCATGAGAAAAAAAAATTTTGCTCAGTTTTTCTGAATTAATGAATTCATTTTTCATGAGAAAAAAAATTTGCTCTGTTTTTCTGAATTAATGAGTTAATTTTTCGTGACAAAAAAGTTTTTGCTCTGTTCTTCTGAATTAACTAGTTAATTAACGAGTTAATTCAGAAAAACAGAGCAAAAAAAATTCCATGAAAAATTAACTCGTTAATTCAGAAAAACAGAGCAAAAAAAAATCCATGAAAAATTAACTCATTAATTCAGAAAAACAGAGCAAAATATTTTTTTTCTCATGAAAAATTAACTCATTAATTCAGAAAAACACAGCAAAAAAAAATTCCATGAAAAATTAACTCGTTAATTCAGAAAAACAGAGCAAAAACATTTTTCTCATGAAAAATTAACTCATTAATTCAGAAAAACAGCAATTTTTTTTTCTCATGAAAAATTAACTCGTTAATTCAGAAAAACAGAGTAGATTTTTTTTTTCTTCAAGTGAATGCAAAACGCCTCCGTACATTTGGGTCCTGTTTTGTATAATATATATTCCAAAACTGTTACTTCATTTAAAAGTTGTGGAAAGAGGCCATAGTCACCTATAGGGATGACAAATTATTACACTAGGGAATTACAGGCGTGCATTTGTTGACAGATACAACTGAACTCTGCAGAAGGAAGGAGTTCACACAGCTTGGGCAGACTCCAGCGTTGCGTGTGAAATGTCTTCATCCCAGGTACATTGGCATATATTTCAGCATGTCATATGAATATAGTTTCATGGGCTTTATTTTTTTCGAAACGTCAAAAGATCGCGTAGCTCCCGTTTACAAGCCAGCCTATTGGCTACTGTTTTACATTATGGATATGCTAATTCACTTCAATGTTTGTGTGGTAGATAATAGCCATATCATCAATATTATAATATCAAGCTACCATAGATGAGTCTGCAAATTTTAAAAATCGATTTGCATTGTAGCCTGAGGCAAGACACTTTCACCAGAAAAATAAGTAATAAACATGAATATCAGCTTGATAGTTATCCTGACCGATTATTTTGTCCGTCTAATCATGTAATACTTGCAAGAATGTAGTCCCTACCAAACTCAGTAATCAGTATACTTTCACATCTCAAGCTGGTGCAAGCTGCCCGCCCCGGCTCTGCGGGGACGCTTGAGTATGTTAAGCGCCCTCAAAAGAAAGCAATGCAGCTTACATTGGATGCAGACACAACACATTACCAACAGTAAACTGATCGCTCGTGCTCTGTTTCTGACGCACTTCACATTTGCTAGGCAGGGAAAGATTGATGCACCAGACTGAAGCCATGACAACATACAGAGGTAAAAAAAAAAAGCGCTCGTTGTGCTCTTGCGTCGGAATTTGAGGAAGTGATGTATGCCGTAAAGCAGTCGAATTTTGTAGTTCTTTTTGTGCTCGGGTTCCTACCCGCACCTCGAAGTTACATAGTGCCAGTAAAAGCGATACAGACACTGTCAGGCTATGGCAGACCAGTCATTCAACCTATTGTAAGTCGATGTACCATCTTCAGGGTTTTGGAAAAATATTATAAAGGTTGAAAAAGTTACATAGCGCTGCTTTAATACTATTCAGCATCATGTGTTAAGTAAAGAAACTGATTTCAGAGATTGAATTAGAATTTAAGATAGTAGGGTGGTTATTACATTTTAAGAGATAGACTGTGGAGTCCTTTTCAGACAGCCTTATTACATCCACAGGTTCTCCTCAAGGATGTGTTCTCACCCTAACTCTACATTTATACTAATGGTAGTGTAAGCAAACACACAGATAGGCTCATTTAAAAAACTGCTGATGTTAGTTTACTGTTATTGTTAGTTTGCTGACTAAGGATGAGAATTGTCATGGTCCAATTCATGGTGTGACGGTGCCTTTTTGCAAGTAAATGTAAAAAATACCAAAGATATGGTAATTGATTTTAGAGTCCTTTGGCTTCTCGACCAACAAGAGTGAAAGATCAAATGGTGGAATAGGCTGTTACAAGCACCCTGAACTTATCATTGATAATAAGTTGCATTTTGATACTTATGTTACAGCAGTAAGCAAAAAAAAGGGCCAGCACCGTTTTTACACTGTCTTTCTTATGACCATGTACTATGCATATTATATTGAATCTGTTCTTTGCTCTCTATATGCTGTTGGTATGCAAATGTTAATGTTAAACATCGAAACTCATTGAATGGCATTGTCAACCAAGGTAGTAAGATTATTGGCATTAAGCAGTCAAGTCATCACATAGTTTTGAACGATATGTCTTCTGAGAAAGCTAGAGCTATCCTTGCAGGTTGTACTCATCCACTGTTCCATGAATTTAAAATTCTTCCTTCTGGTTATAGTATGCCTGAACTTAAAAACAATCGTTATAACTAAATTAAACTAACAATAAGCTAAATGTTTTTACAGCATGTTTTAATTTTAGTTAATAAAAATGGTCATATACATGGATGTTATGGTCATACAATGTTAACAAATTCAACTTTTGATTTTAGTTAGCAAATGTTAGGATAAACATTAACAATTAATACAATGCTTTAGAAGTATTATTCATTATAGTCAACCATTGTTAGTTAACAAATGAATCCTTATTGTGAAGTGTCACCCATAGTTTTAAATGTAAATAAATAAATGTAATACCATAATAACCTAGCAAGTGAAAGCATGATACAAATAAAGAATGAAAACGTTTTTACAGAATTTGAGAAAATTATTATTTTGAAAAATCATATGCCCACCTTGCACCACGCCACTGCTCTCCAAGCTCTTCACTGTACTGTGCATCAAAATGCTTCAGTACAGTCTTACAGACTTGCCTCCGAGGTGCAGATTTACACTGTGCTGCAAGCTAATGATGTGGATAATAATTTAAACACATTTAAATGATTAAAAAATAAGAATGATTATAACTTGATATCTTATACATGATACACAGAAAATATATTTATAAAGTGTTGTCAATGTTTTTCTGTTAGTAATAAACCACATATGTCTAATACCCTCGTTGTTTCGTCCGCTCACCGTAGTAGTGACTGTGCAATGAGACGAGGCGATTAAAATACACTTAAAATACTTCAGAGCGACAAGAGGACTACTTGAAAATCCCTTTATACAGCATAATTTCGGAGAAAACATCGATGTTGGTTTACCGTTTTTTTTAAGCATGTATTGTCCGTCTTCTGACTGTGTTCCCCCAGAAACGTGGAATATGATATTAGTTCCGCGTCGGTGTTCAAGGCGGTTCACGGGTCGGCTTTTAATGTTTTCTGGTCGGATTCATTGCGAACAGCACCAACAAAGACCACCACACTGGTTCAACAAAACCTACCAACTGGTGAAAGTGTACATCATCTACCTCATCAACATTGCTGAGGTTTTCATATGATCCCCTTGATATTTTTTTTTGCATTATGAGACTTTTTGATGTGATGGAAATGACATTTTGCAGTGCCAGTTGGCAAAATACTCAAATTATATTTAAGCTCAGTCGTTGCCATTATTATATCTTTACATTAAAGCATGTAAACATTGTCTTGACATAATTCTAACAAAATTCAACCAAATTTCATTCACCAAAATGTAAGATGGCAAAATACCCCCAATTGAAGAATCACCCAAGTACTCAAATAAGTAGGCTACTACTTTAGGGTTAGTTGCTGCTTGTAATTATGCGTGCTTGCACACCATTAGTTAAGTGTTAAAAAGTCTCTTTCATCAAAATTAGGCCTATTTGTTAAATGTTTAGGGCTTTTCGGGACTTTCACACTCAAAATGAGAAAGCTTTTTTGTTGTTCTTTATACTCATTTTAATTTTACAATTAGAATTGTTCAAAAGGAGAGATTTAAAAAGTACCAGATACTGTGATATGCAAGCCTAAAAAAATGATGAGCATAAAGTGTTTTTAGTAATTTTAATAATGCACTTTAGAATGCTATGGATTTTGGAGTGATGATCAAAGTTTGATTACAATTACTGGCCTTATGGAAGGGCAAATATGCAGAAGACCTGAAAAATGTGTGATGGCGTATATAGACAAATTCATGGTTCATAGACCTTTTAATCCTAGTTTCACTTTTTTTAATAAGTATAAAATATTTACTACCAAAGGTGATTTCAAACCTTTTACATTTTTTTACACTTTATGATTGCAGAAGTACAACATATTTCCCTTTATATATTTTTTTTTAATATTATCCTTGCGTGAAAAAAAAAAACTATAAGTATAGGCATTTTTATTTTTTCCATGAATTATACAGAAAGCATCGAAATAGTTCAACTCTCTTTGTTTTAATGAACAAAACCGTGATGGTGTAGTTACGGCATGTGCCAGCAGAAGGCGCCGCTAACAGTTGTGCAAATGTGTGCATTATCAAACAGTTTTAATAATAACACGGAAATGTGTTGAGTGATAGTGAAAATTAACAGAATAAACTTTCTCTCTTTCTTTGTCATTCATACTAAGTGTAAACGGGTTGCAAAAGGCGCAGGTACTGCAAGCAGAGCAAACTGGATGATAGACAGAAGTTCTCATGTGTGGGGTAAAATACAAAACAAAACATCCAACAATGTAAATTATAAAAATCGCAATAGCATAAAATAAATATGAAAGCATGTTTTTACAGTATATGTCATAATACATTAATCAAGATCTCTTTATCTGTTGCTGGTGCTATTTGAGAGTATGAATGTTGTTCTCAAAATTAAGACAGCGTAGTGTATAAACTTATAGATGCTGCTGAGAAAAAAAAAGAAGATATTTTCTGATATTTTAAAGGCAAACTGTGTCGAAATGAACAGCACATTTCATATGCACACGAGCTTAATATATGCAAATGGACCATAAAGAACATGTTTTTACAATTTCAAGTACACAAATTTAAACTTTTATATATTTACATATTTTTCAATTCTCTTAAAAAATAGGTCTGTAACATGGAAATGTCTGTTAATACTGAATTTAAGTATTTTGATAAAACTACAGAAATAAGAACATTATACGAATATGTCTAACAGTGAATGTCCACATCCCTTCATCTCAAACACTGGCCAGGAAACAGCTTCCGATGACCATCAGTCATTGGTTGGTTGAGTTCATGTGATCCATCTGGGTATGCCGATTGGGTATCAATTCCTCGCTTATGGGGAATTAGATCCGCGTAGATTACTACACTGCCCGTGCTTGAAGATAAGAACAAAACAATACTTTGATTGGTTGGGACCCTTAAGAACTGTGAACCAGCAAGGAGGATGGGAGGGAGAGGGTGCGAAAGGTAGTGTTAGGAAATTACATCATGAGTATCGCTGTTCGGCCTCTGCCTAATTGCTACAGGTGGGAGAGGTTTGCCATAGAAATCTGCCAATGAAAGAGAGTCATGGAAGAAAAAAAATTAGGTCAGCAATGTCCATTTTTTAAAATCAAGGATCAACTAATTTCAACGGACTACAAACTACATCATTCAATTCCTAGATTAAAATGTCACTGGATGCTCAAAAGACGACATAGAACATTATATGGAGGATTCAAAATGTTTCCTGCAAGCGTCAGGAAAATAAATGGCATACATTAGATACAGTGCAGGAAGCAAGTTGTTAGGGAGATTATGCAAGTAGCATTTGTTAGGTACAATATTAAAGTGGATGGTTGAGGTATTTCTGTTGGCTGATGACAGATGACTGTACAGGAAGGATGTGGCTGAGGCTTGCTGTGTGGATGGAGAGAAAACAAAGCTTTAAAGACAGAATTATGGGAGACACTTACATGGTTAGGAAACAGAACGAGGGGAAAAAAAATGTTAGTGATGCGCATGCCGGAGATTGATCAGATGCAATGAACTAACAATTACCAGAATGACTTGTATCTCCAAGAGGCTCAAGTTTGGGGAGCCTAGAAACTTTGGGAGTAGCCCATCCAACTAAAACCAAGAAAAAAAGTCAAATGATTAGCTGTTAGGTTTAAATATATTTAATTAAAATGAAGAAACAAAAGGGAAAACTAAGACAAATCAGTGGTTATTTTGCACACGCATTTGACAATGAAAATTAATGTTTAGCAAATGATAGAAGAGAGTTTCTCTGACTTTCCAGAAGTCTGTTGTAATCCTAGAAACATTCACCACTGCACTGATTTTTTTTTTTTTTTTTATCTAATAGTTTTAAATCAAAATGTCATAACTCAATCTTCCACTTGAAAGACTTCTCTCTGGTGACATATGCTGTACGTCCAGACTCCATCCAATCAAAGACCGATAAATTGAACCCCACTCCACATTCTTACCCTTTTGAATAATCTATTTACTCTGATGTATGCCACAATACAGAAAAACAAGCTATGTTGCTATGCTTCTTCTTTTGAAACTTTTCTTTTGTTAACAGGCAAGTAAAGGGACTACTCTTTATTTTCTAGTATTCCATTAAATGTATTATTTCTATAAAAATATTACTTGTGCTATGGATTGGATTTTAAATAAATACGTATTTAAATTACTGTATTTTCCAGAATACAAGTCACATGCTTTTAATTAACCTAAACATGCTGTGACTTATTAAATACAATAAACATCAAGTTCACAAAACATGGATTTATGCCTAATGAGAAAGGTAGGTGAGCTTAAGCATTTCCCACATACTGTACTAGTAGTTTCAGTTTATTTCAGTTTATCAGTCATTTATAACAAATGTTGTTTATAATGACTGACACTTTAATTTATGTTTGTTTTATTCTTATATTTTTCATTCTTGTTCTGTTCTGAATATTGTTACATTTAAAGGATTTGTTGTGGAGTGAAAGGAACTAAATACATGATTATAGAAAATATAATGTTTGTAAATATTTGGTTTTATTCATCAATGTTTTACATTATTTCTGAACGTAATAAAAAAGTGTGACCAATGCAACTTATCTGTATTTATTCTCTCTAAAATGCAATTTTGACCTGTTGTTTTGTAAAATGGAAATACTTGCATTATAGGAGTATTATAACAGTATAGACCATTTCATAAGATGTAAACAACACTGGTCCAGAAACACTTCCTGTTTCGGTTTGTAACTGTTTTCTTTATTTCACATGCAACGAAAATATCTTAAAGATGTTTAACTTTTTGATTCCGTTTTAAATGTTCTGTTGGTTGTATTTTATCCCAGCTTTTATGTAGTGTTAAAAAAAACTGAAACAGGAAGTGCTTCTGGACCAGTGTTGTTTACATCTTGTGAAATGGTCTATAACAGTAACATGGAGTAAATAACAGTATAACAGTAACATGTAAGACATGTCTTTGTGAAACCTCTCAACCACATTGAACAGAACAAGCACTTCATAAAAGCACTTGGTATGGCAACTTGGACACATGAAACATATA